TCTCTGAGGTCCTTCAGAAAATCCAGCTCGTCTTCAGTTTTCATCTCCACCGCTCCTGAAAGCACAGAAGGTTTGCAAAGCATATTTCAATGAAATCCCTCCAGTGCCACTGAAGCGCTGTTGTTTATTCCAGGCATTAAAAAAAAAAAATTCAACAAGTATTAGTTTTCCTTTCAGCAGCTGGTTTCATTCCCAACTTTGCTCCTTGTTTGCTATTTGTTTTACAGTGATGGTGTCTGTCACTGAAGGAAACTATGAAATGCCAACGAGCACCGGGAAACTGCCAAAAGGCTCGCACGCTATCTACACTATACTACCTCTGCGTACGTGTGCACGTAGGAGAAGGCTTGGCTTCCAACATTGCTGTCGCGTGATCAAACAGTACATATTTATTTTTCTCTTCTTTCTTAACTTGGACAAAGGTGGGACGTTTTCTCAGTTGGCATTTTACGTGTTTAGCACTGTGCTGCTTCTGCAATGCATTTCTTTTCTCTTTATCCTGAAGCAAGTTGCTTAGGTCCCAAGATTAAAAATCCATCAAGTCTCCAGCTGACCTTAAGAATTATTTGAACAGGGAACAACAAGGATTTTTTATTCCTAATGACAATGTTGATGGAACCGAAAGGCAGACGCTCTGCCCCCTGCTCCCTCTTCTTAGCAAGCAAAGATGCAGTCCTTCCTCAGCTGCCACTGCATTCAAGTCGCTCTCTCTACATTTTCCTAGCTTAAAGGGAGTCTCTAATGAGTTCTAAAGAGGCCCTTTTTAAAATTAATAACCCTTTTTATCCTGTGACACTTCCTGAGATTTGGACTTAAACATAAAAAAATCAAAATAAAGAAATAAATTCTACAGACCCAGGGATAACAAACTGCCCTGCAGACAGTGACTGGAGTTTCGCTATCCCCCTCCTTACGAGTTATGAAAATATCACTCATTCCACAGATGTGGATGTGCGGGTACACACAGGTAAAGCGATTTGACCAACACCATGAAGTTTATCAGTGGCTGAGCCAGTGACAGAGCCCAGCTCCCCAAGTCTCCTAATCTTAACCATGAGGCCATTCTTCCTCTGTATCATTTGTTCCTGAGCACTACATTAATGAACAAGAGGGTTTTTTAATTTTTTTTTTTGTTGCTTTTTTTAATAGACAGTAATTTGTAGTGAGATAATCCATATGTGCAGTGGCCCCAGGAAACCAAAGTCCTATTTTAAATCAAAATCATTGCAAAAGGTAATGGATCACTGGTAGTTTTCTAGTGCAACCAATATAGCTTTAAGGTCCTACAGACATTTTGAGTATGTTCATACTTCTGTTCAGAGATAAGCTGAAGGTTGCCTTTGACTACCCTGCACCACACAAACGACCCTTCCCAACTTCCATCACCCGGCTCTTTTATCCACATGAAGCAGAGAAGGAGAGAAGTAGTTGGTAGACTGAATCCTATTAGGGGTGTGCTAGGCCGGAGCAGGAGAATCAAGCACAGCTCTTCCAGGAATCACCAATCTTGTCTCTCCTCTTGTGCTGGCTTCGATTAGGGGAATCAGAGCCAGGAAACGGGTACAGAATTGCCCCTGGCAGACTTCCTCTGCTTCCATCTTGCTCAGCTGTGATAAATACTGAACTGTAGTTGACAGGCTACAGACAAGCTCAATCTCAGGTCGTGATGCTCAGGGAAGTGCCTGGGGGAAGGCTGGAGAGTGTTTAATGTAGATGGTCAGTGGACCTGGCAGTAGGCTTAAGCAGCACGGCAGACATGCTTTGTTGCGTGTTAGGCTAATCCCCACAAAATTACTGATTACAATGTTATGCTGCTCTGACAGGAAAGGATGAGCTTACGGGGTGTTGATAGAGAACCTCCTAAAAACTGGAACCAGTTAAGCAACTTTCCTATGGCTGTGCAGTCATCGCTCAGGGGACTTGAGTTAGTTGACAAAATAGCTGGTGACCAATTTATTTACTATAAGAGGGGTGTAGCCAGCAAATTTTGCTCCTCCCATGCAATTCCTTGAGACATGATATCAAAAAAGATAAATGCAATGATAATGGCCCCAGGAACAGGCTGGTAGGAAGTGACAATTTGCTAAAACCCGAAAACATGTGCCTTGACTTCCACCATTGTTTAGGGTCTGGGGTATATCAGTAAAGAACTGTTTGCAGGCTGGAAGAGGGAACAGACTGGTCCCAGGAAAGTTAGGTGGGAGGTATGAGACTGGGAAGGAACCATCTGATTGCTAAAACACAGCCGTGGGTATCAGAAAATCAGGATTGCATTCTTGGTTCTGCCACAGATTTCTTGCATGACCTTGGACAAGTCACTTATTCTCAGCGCTTTCTTGCCTGTGAAACAGGGATACTAAGTATACTTCCCTCTTTCACAGTACAGTTGAAAGGATACATTCACTGAGGTCTGTAACTTATGTTGAGGTGCTGTAGAACAGCAGTCCCCACCTGCACTGCCTATGAGCAACAATACTAAAGTAATAATATGCTGCACACAATATCCTTCTTGGCTCTTCCTGTCAACCTTAGTATTCATTTTTTTTAAACTTTCTGTGCTTTCAAGCAACCTCAAAGGGTCTCTCTCCTGGGTAACATGTTGCCCTCAAGTCAGGGACCACTGCTGTATAGGATGCAAAGAATGCATCAAACCTTGTCCCCATTAAGACCTAACCTTAACCCCACAGTCCTCGTGTTTACTGAAGTCATGGACTTCTCCTTTAGCAGCATCAAGCCTTATCATTATTGTGAATCTACAGGGCTGTCATAAGCTATAAATGTAAGGTTTTAATATGATAAATCAGCGTGTGACAATTCATTACATATTAGGTCTTACACTAGACAAGTCTAACCTGGATGTTTTGGTCTTTGTGAGCTTCCAAATCACACCTGAACAGCACCGGCACGGGGCACAGACAAACCCAGCATCGTGCTCTGTACTGATGGAACATTAGTTCTGGCAAAACTTCTGAGAAGAAAGTAAACCATCGGCAGGACGTTTCTGCTGGTACAGCTTTCCTCTACTTGAGAAGTTTTGCCAGCACTGCTATGCTTGGGATGTGGGGGGGTTTTTCGCACTCCCACCTCACATCACAGGGACAAAACTTTGCAGTGTAGACTTGGCCCCAGGCCGGTGTGCCTTGTTACCTGTGCCCAATGCAAATCAGCTCAAATGAAATGCAAAACTTTGGAACTCTTGGTTCAGAGATGATACCTTTTATTAGATCAACTAAGAGATCATCTCTGAGCCAAGAGTTTGTTTTGCATTTCTTTTTGTCTCACACCAACATGGCTACCAAAGGCATCCCTGAATCTAATGTGCATAATTCCAACTACTTACATGAAAAAAAAAAAACCATTCTTTGGTTGCAATTCAACGCCGATTAAAACGCTCAACCCTAGTTGCCACATGAGGCTCCTCTGTGGAGCAGTGAGGCTTGTTTTACTTTTTATTTTTTTAAAGGAGAGTCTCCTTGACCTCACTAGTCATTGGGACCACAATGAATATCTGTTTGGGATGATGGCTTGTTTTTATCTCGGGGCTGGGGAGGGCCTAAATCTCGATGACGTGGATCATATGAGAAGCTGATGAGACAAAGGAGCAATGTCACTGAGTGCAGTCATCAAATGCTTCAAATGAAGAACTATCAGAACATGTACCTAACCCTGCATGTTTCACTGAGGAGCAAAATCAGTTGACTGCTTATCACAAACTGTGCTAGCAACAAATACACAGTGATGCGGGTCTCTGGAAAGTAGCAACCTGATGTGGGGATCTCTCTGCCGGACACCAACCCATCCTGTAAGCAGAGGATTCTGGCACACGCCGCTGAGCAACAGTTACTTCTCCACAACCACAATACAAATATAAGCATTTCTTGGCAGGTAGGGACAAGTCTTATCAATGAACAACCAGCAAGACAGAGTACTGCTATGAAGGTGTGAAGGACTCGGCAGTACCGGTGTGGTCCTTTGACAGGATAAAATTCCCCAGGTGGGTCAGGCACCTGCCCAGGCAGAAAAATAAAAGGTGCGCATGATAATAATAAAGTGCCTGAATTTGCTGCTGGGTAGGATTAGTGTAGATCCAGCCCAGCTTCCTGGTTACAGCAGAAGGATTTCAGGCAGCAAATCCAAGTGTAAACTCCGATTCGTAGCATCTGCTTCTCTTCCTTTTAATCTGTCCTTTCCCATACTCCAGTGCCATTACACTGTGTAAACTGATCCAACAGCTCCCTAAGAAAAGCCATTCTAGCCAAATTTTTTCTTAGTGCAGCTTTATATTCTGGGTAAACAACTCTTCCTTATGGGTAGGACTGGACCATTACATCCTAAATCCTTGTTTGTAATGCATCCTACACATACTTTAAATCTGTAACAAGGTCGCCTCTCCATTTCCTCTCGTGTACCCTGATCCGACAGAAAGCTTTAATGCTAGGAAAAACCCAAGCTGCTTTTTTCATTGTTGATACTAGTCCCTCATACCATTTCATTCTTTGCTCTTTGGATTTCCAGATATGAAATCGTGCACGAAAAACCTGTATATCTAATCGCAGGTGTAGAGCTAAACCTCCACTAACGAGCCCTAGACGGCAGAAGCCTCAAAACAAGAAGCTCCCAGAAGAAATTAACACTCCCGGGGATCGACTTACAGCTGCTCCCAATCTATTGAAATGTCAACCTGCCACTGCGCAAAAATAGGCTCTTTTCTTTTTTTTTTTTTAAAGGAGCTTTCTGATTTACATAAACAGCCTGTTACACAGCAACTATTGCCTTTCCATGACTAATACAACTCTTTAAATACTCAAAGATTGCAAAATATCCTCCCGCACCCCAAAAAGTACCTACTGCTAAAATAAGTCTCCTACGCACCTCTACTTGAGAACAACTGGGGGAGATTGAGGCGAGGGGGTGAACCTCTTCCCTTTTTATACAGAAAGAGGCAGTCAGGTGTTTATGTGGTTTTATATTTTCCACCTTTAAAATTTTGGCAGTTGTTCTACTCTGGTTATTTTCTTTGAAGTTCCTAACTAGCCTTTTGCTTTGTTTTAAGCTTCTTAGGGAAAAGATACACCTTGCCTATAGATTCCTTTTAGCCAAGGGAACAGTGGCAGACAGCCCGACTGCTTGCATCAGCCTGAACAGGTGGAGTACACAGCCTGGACTGAACTAGCTCCATGCCTGGCTAGCTATTCACCTGCAATCTCAGTCCAGACAAGACACAGAAAGGTTTTTGGTTTGTTGGGTTTTTTGCTCCATTTATCAGATCATTTCCTTATTTTGGAAGGGGGAGAAGAGGTTACCTTTAGACGCTTTCTACTAGTTCTCGGCGTTCAGGGACCACCTCTGACCAAGCTCTCCCGACGCAGTAACTTATCTCCAATAACATCATTCATCGGCGTTCCAGGATGATCTTGCTTCCTGGCTTGTTATACTGAGTGAAGAATGAGTCTGAATTCCAGCACTGCTCAAATGCACTGGAAAAGATTGCTTCTTTGCTCTATGATGGCTTCACAGGCAGGAAAAGAGGGTGGTGTGGGGGGAGGGAGGAGGGCGGTTGTGCTGTCTCTTTTTTAAATGACCTAATACCACCAATTAGGCAGCTGCGCTGCTTCCTTCAGAAGGACACTCACAGCTGTTCCACTGGACTAGAAAGGAAGCTTTAATGCAGCACTATTCTGTTCTCTGGCTCCACATTAGCAAAGCATAAGGAGCAGGACTGAAGGAAACGTTCAAATTAGCACTAAGCAAATAAACTGGAAGGCGCCTGGCCTAAAAGGAAGGGTGCAACTGCAATGCATAACAAATCTGGTCATTACGCTGTCCTTTAACTGCTCAGTTTCCTAATATGTAACTTACCTGTTACAGATTCTTCCAAAAATATTTTGGCATAAATATATGCCTGTGACTATGCTTTTATTTTGAGGGTACCCCAGAAGCATGGACTTCAGCTTTACCTTTAATAACCAAGTCAGATTTCTGCTCTCTGCAGAAGCCCTCTCCACCTGTCTGCATTCCTCATCAAGGACAGGTCTCTCGCATCCACCTCCCTAGCCATCATGGTTGGATTTTCATTCTTAATAAATACAATGCCATTTAAATGGGAGACGCTTCCTCAGCCTCATGAAAGGCGTTTGTGCCTGAAAGCTTGCTAAGAAAAATTTTCCCAACTATCTGAGTTGGTCTAATAAAAGATATTGGATTTACCCAAAGAATCTTGTCTGCCTAAGTTCACTGTGATACGGTTCCTTCCTTCCCCTGCCCATGAAACACCACACGCATGTAAGCCTATAAAAAAAATAAGCAAACATCTTATTTTCCTTACCTATAACAATCTCAGATCCCAGCACTCCTGGATTTGTATCTCCCTTGCTTAGATCACCAAATGGCAAACTTAAATCCATTTCTCTGTCCAGCATGGCTCCTATGTTTACCACAGCTTGGGGTTCGGTCTCCGTTCCTTCTGCAACAGGTACACCTTCTGGTTTCTTAACTGGCGGTTCAGGTGAACAAGGTGCCTCCCCTGAAGAAACGACTGCATCAGGGCCCTCTACCCCTTCTGTAATTTCATCTAGAGAAAAGCCATCACCCTCTGGAACAAAACTCTTTTCTCCCACATTTTCCAATGGCTCGGCAGCGTTTAAACTCTCTGAACACAATGAAGGAGGTGCTGCAAATATAGCTTTGTTCTGCTCTTCTTCATCTTCCTTGAGCTCAGCCAAGATCTCTTGGGCCTCTTTCACTTCTGACCCAGCTTCATTCTCACTGGCCAAGCAGACAGTGTCTGAGCTGGAGTCACTATCACATGTGGCTTCTTCCACAATGGGCTGAAGTGATACCCTGGAAAGTACATTGTCCATATCCCCTTGGTCTTCCGGATAACTTGTTACTAGGGATCTCTGGGCCTCCTCTAGTGGTTCCATATTGTCACAGGCAACAGAAAAGGTGTCCAGTCCCAAGGCCTCCTTTAATTCTGCACATGGACAGCTTCCCTGTAGAGCTGGGCTGAGATCGCATTCTTGGTTCAATGCTGTGCTGGAAGGCCAATCATCCTTTGCATCTTGGGATTTGTCCTCCAATACAGACTCTTGTGCGATACTTTCCCCTGCATCCGCCGCCACATTCTCAGTTGCCTCCTGACAAGAGATTTCTCCTTGCAATCCAGTGTCTGCAGTACTGTCACTCACCTCAGGCTGCTCACCCTGATTGCAAGCACAGGATTTCACAACAGCAACACCAGGTTCCTTGGACAAGGCGCTTTCTCTGCCAAATGCCCCACTTTGGTCCAGCTCCTGATCGGGCTCAGGGCTGTTTCTCTCAGCTGGAGGCAGGAGACTGCATGCAGAGTTCTCCTCTTCCCTGAGATCTGGGGGCAAATTAGTTTCTGTGGTTACCGTGCCAGGTTCAGAACTTCCCTGTTCAGCAACCACTGCCGTCTCTGCTACTTCCTGGTTTTGTTTAGATTCCTTATTATGAATTGCAGAGGGTGTGCCTATGAAATTATCCTGTATAGACTCTGTATCCTTGGCACATGAGGATAATTTAGGATTATTATCATGCATGCATGCCTCCTGTCCAGAAGGTGACACTGCAGCACCTGTCTCCTGACTAATTGCTTGCCCCTGCTGTGCATCTTCCCTAAATACAGGATAGGCAAGTGGTCTCATTTCAGCACTGACCCTCTCCAGTTCTGAAGTGCTTTCTGGAGTCAGTGCCTGGCTTTGCAGAGGCCCTTTTCCTGCCAAAACCAAGCCTCCTTCACGTGGAAGCTGTGAATCAAGCTCACATTTGCAAGCTGCAGCAGCCTCTGGATTTAAGCTGTCACTTATTTTGTCTTGCTCAACAGCTTGATGAGCAGCATGGCAATTGCCAGCAGCCCCCTGGCCTCCATCTGCAGTTCCTCTGCTGCTCACAGTTTCAGTTCCCAACATCTCCACGGGTGTTTTGAGGCTCTGCTCCGCTTCAGCTATTAACTCACCGGCTTTGTGGTCACGTGCAGACTTGGTAGCAATTTCATCAGGCTTGCCAAAGGCACCCCGCTCGGCATCAGCGTTGGGATGACCATCATGTGCATGTTCACCCAACTCCAGCTCATTCAGCTCAAGAGCCAGGCTTCCATTGTCCACCTGCACCCCACACTCACTGCTCTTGCTATTGTTGTTAACTTCCAGGACAACCACATCCTGCTTCAATACATTCTCTGAAGGCTTTATCTCACCCATTGCCTGAAGCTCCTCTCCAGCAGCAGTCACACTCTGCCTCTCCTTTACAACAGGGGCATCTTGACCTGGGTCATCTGAGAAGCCATTCATTGTCGTTTCAGCCTGAAAGTCTGTTATACCCTCATTACTAGTCTCCCCAAGGCCATTTGGGAGAATATTAGCATCAGTCCTTACATTTGCAGTGTCCTGTGCTTGCATCACCTGCATGACCCCACCTTCAAAGGCAGCGTTACTAACGTCACCAAGCAAGGGCTCAGCAGCATGGATCAGCTCCTCACCTGCTGGGAGCACTTCCTTCAGGCTTGCAGCTCTGGCACCCGTTGCCTCAGCACTCACATGTTCTTCATGCCGCTGTACTGGAGAGGCATCTCTAGTCCCCGCACAGTTCTTACATTCAGACTGGCCCATGGCCACATCCACACCCTCCCCGGAAGTTCGGGGTTTGCCTGCAGTTTCAACCGTGGTTACAGGGCTTTCAGTTGCGCACTCTTCGGCAATTTGCACTTCCTGATGGGTATTATCTTTGTTGACCAGGCTGGTTTGATCCAGAATAACTCCAGTGGATGTCATTCCAGTTTCCTCATTTGTATTTCCACAGGATGGAAGGCTTGCAGCACCGTTTATTCCAGGAGCTGGGCTCAGTGTGCAGGCATTTTTATCTGATACAGCTTCAGAGTCTACAATAGAGGCTGGCCCCTCCTCTTCCTTTTTACTCAACGTAGCTATATTTTGACTTTCTGAGGAACACCCCCGGCTCTCTGTGCTTACCACACTCAGCAAATCACCTGACATGTCGTTAAGCACTCCCAAACTCCCACTGTCACGTTCATCCTCCTTGTGGCAGGAGGGGGCCAAGAACTGCCTTAAATCCAAGTCAGCTGTGGCAGAGGGTCCTTCTTTGCTGACTTCTGTAGACATTTCTTCAGAGTTGTAGGTTACAACAGCCTGGTGTCCTTCCATTTGTCTTCCTTTACTGCTATTATCCTCAGTTCTCGGCTCAGACTCTGGCTGCTGCTTTGCATTCTGAAAAAGGGAAATAAAAATGATGACTCTTTGTTTTGCGATATGCCACACTCTAATAGTGAACACATGGATTTATCTGACCCTTAAACCTTAACAAAGAGTACACAGAATGACATATGCCCCTCCCTCCATCTCCATGTGTATATCCTTTTGCTACTTACAAAATGTGCCATAATAGAAAACTGTATTATTTTTATATCATGCCAGTCAGAGATACTGAAGATTATTGCTCGAATAGATTCAAGCCAGGTGAACAGCAACATTTGCCCATTTTTTAAAATTATGTAAATGACACACATCTGAATGCACAATTTGGTGTCCAAATGGTTCATGTAATGCTGTGCAGCAGAAGCTCAGAGCTGAACTGCTGTGGATCATTTCCAGCTTGTATACACCATGGATCTTGCCTTCCTGGACAGAAGAGGATCACTGTTAGGCTGGTCCACAGTGTGGGAAGTTCCACTTTCAGCACTGCCTAAATATCAAATATTGGCTGATGATCAAATCCCCTATTGTGAGGAGTGTGTGCAACTAAAATACAGAGACTCTATTTCCTTACCCCGGATAAAAAATTACCAGTAAAATGTCCAGCAGTCAATGGCCCCTCACAGCTCAAATGCACTGCATTTACAGGATTTTTTATATACTGCTGATCAACTAAGTATTCAAGTATAGCTACCTATAAACAAGAATCTGGATTCTCAAAGCCCTGGGGTTTTCAGCCTCGTTTCTGCTTTGACAAAAACCAGATGAGACCATTATCAATTATTACATAAGACTTAATAGTTTACAACTTTGTAGTTTAACAAGCACATAAGCCTCAGTCCTC